ATATCGTAAGGTCGCAGGGGCCGTATATTGTTTTAATTATCGCTAATAAGCTATTACAAGACTTGATTAGGACAATAATGCTAGAAGATAGCAATTCGAGAGTATGTTGTGTAAGATAATGATCAGGGGTCCTTTTTTAGGACAAGGAGGGAGTTTTTTATACCAGCTCAACCCCCAACCGCACCCCTAGAACCGGGGGTGGTTAGATCGGCCCGCTTTGATCGCGTCCCCTCCGGGACCGGGTCCAAAGCGGGGCGACTCGGCATGGCCGAGCCGGGCATGTGCCAAGCTCGGGCTAGCCGAGTCCACCATGGACCGGCTCGGCTCGGCAGTAGCCGGGTCCATGGTGACGAGCTCGGGTGTACCGAGTTCGTCCGTGGCCGGGCTCGGCCCATGGCCGAGTTGCTTTGGGCTAAGGTGTTGGGCCGAGGCGCCTCGGGTCCGTCTCTCCGGGTCGGTTCGTTCTGGGTCCAATATATCCATCACGAGTCCCCCACTCTCTTCGTTGTGATATGTCGACAACGATAGAGAGTAGACATATTGCGAGCTGATTCCCACGCGATTGCCCTGAGTTGATAATTAGCTGACCTCCCGTGACCGAGCTCACCATGACCGAGGCACCTTGGGCCGAGCACGGGGCCCCACCACTATGCCCTGGGTCTATTCCATACTTCCTTGTTCCGTTTTCCCGGGTCGGTTTGCTCCAATCGTAATATATCCATCATGAGCAAGACTTCTTCTCTTCCGCATTCCTCTTTGGCTGACTTTGGTGTGATTCCATTGCAATCGGGACTTCTTCTCTTCCGCAAGAACACTAACAAGTCTTGGGCTCCCTGGCATCGTGTATGAGACTTTGATTTCTGAGTTCACCTTTGGGCGAGCTCACGAGGTAGTCGTCCTCCTCTCGGGTGAGCTCAAGAGGTAGCCCCTCTTGGCCCGATGTTCCTTGTGTCGAGGCGTCTTGGGCCGAGGTTCATTAATGAGGGAGAGTAACACGAGTCGCACTCCATGGGTCCGAGCCCCACACGGTCGACCCCAAAGTGGCCGACCCCAACGTGACCGACCCCAACGTGGCCGACCCCAACGTGACAGACCCCAACGTGGCCGACCCCAACGTGGCTGGCCCCAACGTGACCGACCCCAACGTGGCCGGCCCTAACGTGACCGACCCCAACGTGGCCGGCCCCAACGTGGCCGACCCCAACGTGACCGACCCCAACGTGGCCGACCGCAACATGACCGACCCCAACGTGGCCGACCCCAACGTGGCCGGCCCCAACGTGACCGACCCCAACGTGGCCGACCCCAACGTGACCGACCCCAACGTGGCCGACCCCAACCTCAAGGATTAGACTTGATAGCGGCTTGATTAGCGTCATCCCTTCTTTATCATATGGGTTCCGTCTTCCGCTCCACCACTTTGTACTTTTCCTAATATGCCTCCCCCCCCCCCCCCCGGAGGTAGGCACATTAGTGTCTCTCCTCTGGGAGGTGGGCACATTTTATGTCTCCCCTCCGGGAGGTGGGCACATTTTATGACTCCCCTCCGGGAGGTGGGCATATTTTATGGCCCCCTCCAGGAGGTGTGTCCTTTTGTACCTTGCTTCGATAAGCATGCTTCTCCTCCCGGAGGTGGGCACATTTTATGTCTCCCCTCCGGGAGGTACTTCCTTTTGTCTTTGCTTTGTTAAACATGTTCCCCCTCCCGGAGGTGGGCACCTTTTATGTCTCTCCCCTCCGGGAGATACTTCCTTTTGTCTTCGCTTTGTTAAACATGTTCCCCCTCCCGGAGGTGGGCACCTTTTATGTCTCCCCTCCGGGAGATACTTCCTTTTGTCTTTGCTTCGTTAAACATGCTTCCCCTCCCGGAGGTGGGCACATTTTATGTTTCCCCTATGGGAGGTAGACACATTGTATTGACTTGGCGTTTTGAATGGACAATCAGCTCTCCCTTATTGATTTTTTTTTTTTTTTAGCACAATGCCTTATGTTAACCGCTTGAGCCTAATCCCCTGGACTAAGCCGCAGGGCTCCTCCGCCGGGGTTAGTACGCGAGGTCGGACCTCGTGCCCCCTTAGGGTGCGTTAGCCGCTTGAGCCTAGTTCTATCGGACTAAGCCACCGGGCTCTTTCGTCGGGGTTGGTACGCGAGGTCGGACCTCGTGCCCCCTTAGGGTGCGCTACCCGCATGAGCTAAGTCCTGCCGGACTAAGTCATCGGACTCCTCCGCCGGGGTTGGTACGCAAGGTCGGACCTCGTGCCCCCTTAGGTACGTTAGCCGCTTGAGCCTAGTCCTACCGGACTAAGCCACCGGGCTCTTCCGTCGGGGTTGGTACACGAGGTCGGACCTCGCGCCCCCTTACGGTGCGCTACCCGCATGAGCTAAGTCCTGCCGGACTAATTCATCGGACTCTCCCGTCGGGGTTGGTACGCGAGGTCGGACAGCGTGTCCCCTTGGGGTGCGCAAGCCGCTTGGGCCGAGTCCTGCCGGACTAAGCCACCGAGCTCTTCCGTCGGGGTTGGTACGCGAGGTCGGACCTCGTGCCCCCTTAGGGTACGCTACTCGCATGAGCCAAGTCCTGCCGGACTAAGCCATCGGACTCTCCCGTCGGGGTTGGTACGCGAGGTCGGACCTCGTGCCCCCTTAGGGTACGCTTGGGGAGGTCGGGTGAGTACTCGATTCTTACAACATCGTTGGAAGGACTTGAAACATCGTTGGAGGGGACGCTCCACCTCTTAAAACGTTGTAGGATGAGACGTCCCACCTCTTGGAACATCATTGGAGAGGATGGACCACCTCTTGCCACATCTTTGGAGGGGACGCTTCACCTCTTAAAACATCGTTGGAGGAGACGTTCCACCTCTTGAAACATCATTGGAGAGGACGGACGACTTCTTGAAACATCATTGGAGAGGACGGACGACCTCTTGAAACATCATTGGAGAGGACGGATCACCTCTTGCAACATCTTTGGAGGGGATGCTCCACCTCTTAAAACATCATTAGAGGGGACGGACCCCCGGGTGGACCGGGCGGGTCCCTTTGTGGACCTCCTCTATGACTGACACCTAATGTAGCAAGGTGTCATTAAAGGACTTCTTGTAGTGTATAACTGTATATCACGGGGGACTATGTAGGTTCTCCCCACCGGTTTGGCTTCGACCTTGTCAAGGGGCAAGCAACCCATAACATGTTCTTCCGTTAGGTAGTGAGTGGGGCGTCCCCCATGTACTACCGTTAGGTAAATGCCAAGGTCGGGGGCGGCACGCACGACCGCAACCATGGGTTAATAAGAACATATGTCAATATTTGAGCTCCTGGGGTTCGGGGGAGCCGGGTGCTCGACCTATCACGCCCCCTTGGGAGGGGCGGGGTAAATGTAGGCACCCCTCGAGAGACGTCGGGGCCAAGCAAGAGGGCTCGGACACCTCTTTGGAGCCCCTCAACGGGGTGGGTCAACAAGGTGGTAGCTTGTTGGGGCGCGACCATCCCCTCTGGGAGCTCGTTCATTCGCTTACGGAGTTGCTCGACCTCGTCATGATTGGTGCTTGGAGCTCGACCATTTGTTTCCTGACCTCTCATCTCGGGAGGCCTACTCGCATCGCGGCGGCGCTCAGGGCCCGCGGCTTGGCGACCTTCTGGGACATGATTCCTCCGCTTGTAGTGCGTTAGGGGTTGGCCTTGGGCCCAACCTATCTCGGGCCGACACGCGCATGCCCAGCCTCTTAAAGGCGGACCTAACATGGGTCGACCTCCCTCTATCACCCTCTCGATGGTGATCTTGGCGGATGTCACCCCCTCCCACGTGTCCGATGGTCGGGGTGAGTTGACATCCTCTTCGATTTGAGTGTTGAGTGCCCGGGGTAGCCGGGTGCTTGGACCGGTGTGCCCCCTGGAGGGAGGTGGAGGCGGGGTCGGCGTCCTTTGTGTGGCCTCCAGACCGTCGTGCGCACCTCCTCGGGGACCCTCTGAGAGGGGAGCCAAAGTCGTGGAGGATTGCCAAAGGGTAACCGCCCCCTCCTGTAGCGGGGCGAGATTTGGAGGAGGGGCGATGGAAGCTGGCACCCCACCGCTGCGATGGTTGGTGAGGTGATCTCTCAAGTCCCCGACCTGGTGAAGGCGGCCAGTTGGAGGCTGGGGGCCCCGTTGGGGCCGTTCTCCGTTGCGGCGAGCTGGGTGCCACGGGAACCGTTGGTGTGGTCGAGATTTGGATCTCGACCTTGTCATGGTAGCTGGTCGCGGTGGACCACTGAATACAGAACACGCTTGAGCTGGTACAGCACCTCTCAACAAGTACACCAATGATGGAATTAATTGACCCGGGGTAGGCCCGAATCAACGAATCCGGATAAGAATATGTACGAAATAAATAATATAATGCAGAGATATCGTAAGGTCGCAGGGACCGTGGGTCGCAGGGACCGTATATTGTATTAATTATCGCTAATAAGCTATTACAAGACTTGATTAGGACAATAATGCTAGAAGATAGCAATTCGAGAGTATGTTGTGTAAGATAATGATCAGGGGTCCTTTTTTAGGACAAGGAGGGAGCTTTTTATACCAGCTCAACCCCCAACCGCACCCCTAGAACCGGGGGTGGTTAGATCGGCCCGCTTTGACCGCGTCCCCTCCGGGACCGGGTCCAAAGCGGGGCAACTCGGCATGGCCGAACCGGGCATGTGCCGAGCTCGGGCTAGCCGAGTCCACCATGGACCCGGCTCGGCTCGGCAGTAGCCGGGTCCATAGTGACGAGCTCGGGTGTACCGAGTTCGTCCGTGGCCGGGCTCGGCCCATGGCCGAGTTGCTTTGGGCCGACCCGGCCACGGCCCAAGGTGTTGGGCCGAGGCGCCTCGGGTCCGTCTCTCCGGGTCGGTTCGTTCCGGGTCCAATATATCCATCAACATATATCAATTATTAATAATAGACTCAAAATGTCTCATGCACGGACATAATTTGTGAGACAGTCTTGCACAAATTTTTGTCATGACTAGAAGTAGTGTATCTTTTCACTCCATTTTATGACCGACAAAACTCAATCTTTAATGGTGCTAGGTGGGTCAAAAAGCTATTGTTTCTTGCCTTCCAAAACTGTTGTTTGAAGATTTTACAACAAAAATTGTAGTCGGAAGCAAAGATCAGTAAAGCTGTAAATGCGGGCTGCCGGGGCGGGCTAAAAAGCCTGCCAAGAATACGAGCCTAGGTAGGGGCAGCCCGCACCGCCCCACCTTAGGCCGCGGGCCCCCGCCAAAGCCCGCCTGTTTTTATTTTTATTTTTATCGTGTGTGATGTGTCCCTAAAATTTAAACTATAATGTGACTATGTTAATAACTTAATTGCTATCTACTTAAAACACTTATTCATATATAAGAAAATAACATAAATTTGTTCATCACAACATGACAACAATGACAACAATAGGGGTAAGTATAATTACCGAAAAACGTATAACCGATAACCGAACCGATCGATAATTTCGGTTAACGGTTATAAGGCAAAAAAAAAATTTGATTATTCGGCTATTCGGTTATTTATCGATTATGAAGGTGTAATAACCGCGGTCACCGAATAACCACACTATTATTTATATTATTATATTATATATATATATATATATATATATATATATATATATATATATATATATATATATATATATATATATATATATATATATATATATATAACTAAAAAAAAAAAGGCGTGCTGACGGGCAAAAAAAACCGTTTTTAAAACGGGCTTCAAAAACATTAGCCCACCCCGTCCTTTTGGCGGGTGGGGCGGGAAAGTTCGGCAGGCTAAGTCCATTTTGACGGCTCTAAAGATCAGACAGAAGGACGAGAAAGTGACTGATTGTGACGAAATTCATTCAAAATATCAATTAGGCATTCGCTTATAAGTATTTATTTCTAATTCGGGAAAATGAATGAGGAAAGATCAATGTTGAAAATATTATGTAAAAGAAGTGACTGATTGTGACTCTGTAGCCTATTGGCATTGCCATTTTTATGGACTGAGAAAGTGGATTCATTCAATACCTTTGGACTGAAATCATTGTCAATCAACACCCTGCATTATAGGGAGATAATGACATTGCCACAAGCTGGTTCCTAGAATTGATTACTATCATCATTTAATAAAACTAGTCAAAAATTACAATTTTTTTTTTTTTTTTAAATCTCTGCTTACTTTCGAGGATAGTGAGATGAGAAGAGAATACAACCATAATAAGAGAAACAGGCATGACGGGCAAGCCGTATTTAAAATTTTACAACAATTGTAAATAAACCTACGGTAGGGCTATAACCACGCACTATGCTCAACAAATACATTTAATTTGCCACACAAAATATATAATAATAATATCTCAAAATTGAAATTATAGCATGCAATTTTACAATCACACTATAAACAATTTTGGACTTGTGCGATAAAAAAAATGTTTTTAATTTTTTTAAAATCATTAAAAAACAATTTTTTGAATTATTTATATCATTATATATATAAATTAAACACTTTAATTATACCAGGACTATGTGGTGTAATGGTATTTGAGTTAGACTTTCATTTGGAAGGTTGTAAATTCGAGCCTCAGTGGAGGTGTTGTTGGCTTTTTGTGTTTCAGTAGGTTGAGAAAGTATATGAACAGCAATGATGATGATAGTACTAATAATAATAATTGTAATGGATTGAAAAATAAACACAAGTATGAATATCCTCAAATAGTTAATGAATGTATTTTTTATTTTTTATTTTTTTTTGTGTTGATATGGATATGGGTAGATTTTTTATTTTCAATTTGTATCATCAAATAATGATAATGTTACACGAGAGTCTATCAATAGGGATCTTCATCTAATCTAATCTAAATTTTTTTTTTTTTTTATTATAAAGAAGGGGGATACCTACATATACACACTACTTGCCTCAATTAAGGTTAGAACCTTTCACCTCCCACTTAAGGCAGCAACCCGATACCACCTTCATCTAATCTATGAATTAACATTCACCACTCCTTAATAAAAATAAAATAAAAAAACTAAAACAAAAACAAAATTAAACTCATCCTTAAGATAAAGGATGTTCGAAAATTATTTATTACCAAATTTAAGAAACAGTTACAGTGAAGACGAGAACAAGTTCTTGTATATGACCAAGAACATAATAATTGCCCTAGCTAGCATAACTCAATAAGAGTTGCTCAAATAGGACACTTTATTATTAAACACAAAGTGCTATTAAAACATAACTAGAGCGGCACCGGATCCACAAGTAGGGCAACAATATGAGGCTTCAAGACTTTTTCAGGACAAGTATATCCATCTTGGTTGTGCTGATAAGTGACAAAAATAATGCAAGTAAGGTTGAAAATGCGTAAGAGAACTTCGGGAGATACAGGTGTTGGTTGAAGAAGCCCCTCATTCAAATCTTTCAATGCAAGGTCAGCCAATTCTTGAAACTTTTCCATTGCCTTTTCTAGTGATACGCCATATTCCTTCATGTAGCATTCAATACCAGTTGCAACTTGCCCTCTCTCTTTTTCTCCCTATTAAAATATATAGAATGAGTAGCAATAATGAAATAAGTTAGTTGATAAATGGGACAGATTGATGAACATATAATTGTATTAATTTAAACTAAAATTACATCAAAGGTGGCTATGTCGTCGATGAGTCTGCATATGGTGACGCCAGCTTCAAGAATTTTAGGATTTTTCATTAACCAATCGAATACTTTCTCATCAGCTGACTTCAACGTATAACAAGATATCGTGGACAGCAAATAGTAAGCGGAAGTAGCGAATGCGTTTTTTAGGTATTCAGCAAATGTAGGCTTTTGTCCTTCTTCATCAGCAAACCATTTGGCTTCAATAAAGTAGCATCTCACAAGTTCCTTCATCTATTAGCAAACAAATAGGTTAGAATCAGAGTAACCAATATAATGCAAATTATAATATAGATTAGCCCTTATAGTATATGTACCCGTTCCCTTCCATGTTGAACAGCATATGATCTTCCTTCCTTTGAAAGATCTTTTTCATCGCTGTCAAAAAGGTCTAACATAGCTTTATAGCTAATTTTCATATAGTCTGGCAGGTGATTCATTTCGTTAATGTCCCACCTGAAAATAAAAGATGTAAATTAATTCCAGCTTAGCATTTTATTAATTTCAAAATAATATAATATAATATAATATAATATAATATAATATAATATAATATATAACCTTTGTATGACATCTGTGTAGACCTCTAATTCTTCTACGGTACCATAAGCATCAAACGTGTCATCCACAATCGAAACAATTGAAATATTTTTAGCGAGCATAATTCGAGCCTTAGAATACTGAGGCTCAAAATATACCCCTAGTGCCCAAAAATAACATTCAACAGCTCTATCTCTTGCATAAGGAAGTTTTGTTGCAAGGTTCAAATCTTTCCACCACCTACACCAAATGTACTAATTAATTAGTTCAACAAATTATAGCTAGCTATATATGTATAGTAAACTAACAAATTAATTAAATAAATTATATTAAACCTGGAGACTTCACTGAGCTCTTGCTTGTGCAACATTTGCAGCAAATTAAAATCCAATATGGCAAAGCGAAGCAACTCATTATTCCTCGAAGACTCGTCTTCTTCTTGGTACACCGAAATGAAAAAGCGATGTTCCACTCTGGGCAGACCGGTGTGAAATGGCTGATCCAGGGCGTGAGTCACCAGCTTTTCTAAAGTGCTGTTGGGTTTCAGATTTGGTGCTGCAGATCGGAGACGAGTCGCCGCAAAAGCGGTCACGCCTTCTAAAACCTCATCGTCACTGCGTGTTCTAACGTACGAAGCTTCGTACAAACTCAGCAGACCCTTCACATCAGAGGTGTCTCTGAACTTCCCATTTCCGTCCAAAAAGTTACTGAAAATATCAGTAGAAATGTTGTAACCATGTTGCCTCATCAATCGGAACTGAAGAGCAACGGTTTCCAAATCATTCAAGCGGACGGGGTGGGTATAAATATGTCGGAGTTGATCATCAATCTCTTTCTCAAAGTGATATACTATTCCAAGACGTTCCAGCAAGTTAATGAATCTTAATTTTTCAGCCACATCATCAATGGTGTGCAGCAGCGTAGCCCTTGTTTGTTCCTTCAAAATCTCAATCTCTTTTGCATATGCTTCAGCAACCTGTATGTAAATATACATGCATGCACGTTACGAGCTAATTAAACTATATATACATGCAAATAAATATATATTCTAATTATTTAGTTAGTACTATAAGTACCTGATTGTCAATGGAGAAAGAATGGAAGCGATCAGACCATAAGCTAGGAGAGAACTTGGCAAAGGGGCGTACGATATGGTTTTCCAATTCGATTGCCATTGCGGGATTGGAGAAGGAGAAGGAGATAATGGAGATATATTTAATTATTAATTATATGTGAGGGTGAAGAAATGAAGGGCAAGGCAGCAATATTTATAGTCATAACATGCCTGATAAATAAAACGAATTATCTACAACCGCCAAAAAAATAATACAAATTGTCGTAAAGTAATTGGTACAGAGTATATAGGTAGCGAATATTAAAAGTAGGTACGTAGTAGCAATTGAAAAAATAATTCATTAATCTTATATTAAGAATCAAAGTTAACAAACCTTACTAAAAAGCTTATGAATTAAAATTATATTTAATTATTAATTATATGTGAGGGTGAGGGTAGGTAGCTGGTGAAGAAATGAATGGCAAGGCAGCAATATTTATACTACGTACTTTCAGGGACGGAGTCAGAAAATTATTTGAGTAGGGACAAAGTTTAAACAACGTTAGAAATGTCAATTACAAAATATCAAACAACCATAATAAGGATAAAATATACAATACATTATAAATTGCAATAGAATATTTTTCATAAATTACACGATAGTTAGAGTCGAATTAAAAAATATACTTGAGTGGGTGAAAATGTGAAAATATTTATGACAAAGTATGAAACATAATCAATTAGATAAAATAATTTGAACCAGGACTACGTGGTCTAATGGTCTCTGTTTGTGAATGCAGATGCAGTAGGGCTCGCTTGCCTCCCAGC